TGTTGGTTTAACTCAGTTTTATGACCCAAGGGGTGACCAAGGGGGGTGTCAGTGGCCACCAAGGGTGTTTCAGTGGCCACCATGGTGACCCCAGGATGTCCCTGTCCCCTCAGATCTTCCTGTGGAGCCTGAAGGACAATGTGAAAATCTTGGTGGCCAATGTTGGTTGAATATTGAAGACATGAGGGGCCACCAAGGGGTCATCAATGGCCACCAAGGGTGGTTCCAGTGGCCACCAAGGGTGATTTTAGTGGCCACCATGGTGACCACCGGGTGTCCCTGTTTCAGATCTTCCTGTGGAGCCTGAAGGACAACGGTGGTGGCTACTGACCATTGGTTTCACTGACTTTTGTGACCCAAGGGTCCACCAAGGGAGGTGTCCGTGGCCACCAAGGGGCCATCAGTGGCCACCAAGGGTGGTTTCAGTGGCCACCGTGGTGTCCCTGTCGCAGATCTTCCTGTGGAGCCTGAAGGACAATGTGAAAATCTTGGTGGTCACTGAACGTTGATTTCAGTTTTATGACCCAAGGAGGCATCAGTGGCCACCAAGAGGTGTCAGTGGCCACCAAGGGTGGTTTCAGTGGCCATCTTGGTCTCCCCTCAGATCTTCCTGTGGAGCCTGAAGGACAATGAGCTGACATTGGTGGCCACTGAATGTTGGTTTAACTCAGTTTTATGACCCAAGGGGTGACCAAGGGGGGTGTCAGTGGCCACCAAGGGTGATTTTAGTGGCCACTGTGGTGACCCCAGGATGTCCCTGTCCCCTCAGATCTTCCTGTGGAGCCTGAAGGACAATGTTGGTGGCCACTGACCATTGGTTTCACTGACTTTTGTGACCCAAGGGTCCACCAAGGGAGGTGTCTGTGGCCACCAAGGGGCCATCAGTGGCCACCAAGGGTGATTTCAGTGGCCACCTCGGTCTCCCCTCAGATCTTCCTGCGGAGCCTGAAGGTCAATGAGCAAATCTTGGTGGTCATTCAGCATTAGTTGAATATTGATAACATCAATGTCGTCAATGGCCACCAAGGGGTGTCCATGGCCACCATGGGGGTGTCAGCGGCCACCAAGGGTGGTTTCAGTTGCCACCCCGGGTGTCCCTGCAGATCTTCCTGTGGAGCCTGAAGGTCAATGAGCTGACATTGGTGGCCACTGAATGTTGGTTTCACTCAGTTTTATGACCCAAGGAGGCATCAGTGGCTACCAAGGGTGATTTTAGTGGCCACCATGGTGACCCCAGGATGTCCCTGTCACAGATCTTCCTGTGGAGCCTGAAGGACAATGTGAAAATCTTGGTGGCCAATGTTGGTTGAACATTGAAGACCTGAGGGGCCACCAACAGGTCATCAGTGGCAACCAGGGCCCGTTTCAGTGGTCACCCCGGGTGTCCCCTCAGATTTTCCTGTGGAGCCTGAAGGACAACGAGCAAATCTTGGTGGCCAATGTTGGTTGAATATTGAAGACATGAGGGGCCACCAAGGGGTCATCAATGGCCACCAAGGGTGGTTCCCGTGGCCACCAAGGGTGATTTTAGTGGCCACCACGGTGACCACCGGGTGTCCCTGTCGCAGATCTTCCTGTGGAGCCTGAAGGACAACGTTGGTGGCCACTGACCATTGGTTTCACTGACTCTCGTGACCCAAGGGGTCACCAAGGGAGGTGTCTGTGGCCACCAAGGGGTCATCAGTGGCCACCAAGGATGATTTCAGTGGCCACCGCGGTGTCCCTGTCGCAGATCTTCCTGTGAAGCCTGAAGGACAATGAGCAAATCTTGGTGGCCACTGAATGTTGGTTTCAGTTTTATGACCCAAGGAGGCATCAGTGGCCACCAAGAGGTGTCAGTGGCCACCAAGGGAGGTTTCAGTGGCCACCAAGGATGTTTCAGTGGCCACCGTGTCCCTGTCGCAGATCTTCCTGTGGAGCCTGAAGGACAACGTTGGTGGCCACTGACCATTGGTTTCACTGACTCTCGTGACCCAAGGGGTCACCAAGGGAGGTGTCTGTGGCCACCAAGGGGTCATCAGTGGCCACCAAGGGTGATTTCAGTGGCCACCATGGTGACCCCCGGGTGTCCCTGTCGCAGATCTTCCTGTGGAGCCTGAAGGACAACGAGCTGACGGGGATGGCGTTCATCGACACGCAGCTCTACATCCACCAGATGATCAGCGTCAAGAGCTTCATCCTCGCCGCCGACCTCATGAAGAGCATCTCGCTGCTGCGCTACCAGGAGGAGAGCAAGACGCTGTCCCTCGTCAGCCGGGTGGGCTACCGAACTGACCCTGGGGCTAGTGAATGGTTACTGGGGCTAATGAACCTCCCTGGGGTCCCCGGGTCACCAACACCTCCCATAGAGCTACCAAACCACCCCCAGGGCTACCAAACTGTCACTGGGGCTACCAGGAGGAGAGCAAGACGCTGTCCCTCGTCAGCCGGGTGGGCGACTGAACTGACCCTGGGGCTACCAAACTGACCCTGGGGCTACCAAACTGACCATGGGGCTACCAAACTGACCATGGGGTCATTGAACCTTCCCTGGGGCTACCAAACTGACCCTGGGGCTACCAAACCTTCCCTGGGGCCACCAAACTGTCACTGGGGTTACCAGGAGGAGAGCAAGACGCTGTCGCTCATCAGCCGGGTGGGCTACCAAACTGACCCTGGGGCTACCAAATTGGCCATGGGGCTACCAAACTGACCTCGGGGCTACCAAACTGACCATGGGGCTACCGAACTGACCCTGGGGCTACCGAACCGACCCTGGGGCTACTGAACTGACCCTGGGGCTACCAAACTGACCCTGGGGCTACCAAACTGACCATGGGGTCATTGGGTCACCAACACCTTCTGTAGGGCCACTAAACTGTCACTGGGGCTAGCAAACCTTCCCTGGGGTTACCAAGAGGAGAGCAAGACGCTGTCGCTCGTCAGCCGGGTGGGCTACCAAACAGCCACTGGGGCTAGTGAACCTTCCCTGGGGTCACTGGGGTCATTGAACCTTCCCTGGGCTACCAAACCTCCCCTGGGGCTAGCAAACCTTTTACCAGGAGGAGAGCAAGACGCTGTCGCTCGTCAGCTGGGTGGGCTACTGAACTGACCCTGGGGCTACCAAACCTCATTGGGATTACAGAACCTCCCTGGGGTCATAGAACTTTCCCTGAGGCTACCAAACCACTTCCAGGGCTACCAAACTGTCACTGGGGTTACCAGGAGGAGAGCAAGACGCTGTCCCTCGTCAGCCGGGTGGGCTACTGAACTGACCCTGGGGCTAGTGAATGGTTACTGGGGCTAATGAACCTTTCTGGGGTCACCGGGTTAGCAAACACCAACCACAGGGCCACCAAACTGTCACTGGGGCTAGCAAACCTTCCCTGGGGCTACCAAACTGTCACTGGGGCTACCAGGAAGAGAGCAAGACGCTATCACTCGTCAGCCGGGTGGGCTACCAAACGGCCGCTGGGGCTAGTGAATTGTTACTGGGGCTAGTGAATGGTTACTGGGGCCACTGAACCTTCACTGGGGCTAGCAAACTGCCCCCAGGGCCACCAAACCTTCCTCTGGGCTACCAGGAGGAGAGCAAGACGCTGTCGCTCGTCAGCCAGGTGGGCTACCAAACTGACCATGGGGCTAGTGAACCTTGCACCTCATGCTAGTGCCAGTGACGGCTCCACCCCCGTCGTGGTGACAGTGACAGTGCCACCCTGTGCCGGTGCCAGTGCCACCCCCATCCGGTGACAATGGCAGTGCCACCCCTCTCATGGTGACAATGACAGTGCCACCCCCGGTGCCAGTGCCGGTGCCACCCGGTGACAGTGACAGTGCCGCCTGTTTCTGGTGACGGTGCCAATGCTGGTGCCACCCCCGTTTCCGGTGACAGTGACGGTGACACCCCCTGCTGGTGCCAGTGCTGGTGCCACCCTGTCATGGTGACAATGCCAGTGCCACCCCCTGCTGGTGACAATGCCAGTGCCATCCC